CATGGAGGGAACAACGGGGGAACATGGGAGGGAACATGGAGGGAACATGGGGGTAGGAAGGACGTACATTTTAGTGCCACATCTGTGCTTCCCATCCAAGGACCTGCTGCGTGTTTTATTTTCCTTTGGTTCTAGTAAAAGTCCAACATGGACGACTTCAGCTCTAGAGTCCGTCAGAGCGTGTTCTGCTGCAGACGCTTCATTCTTCACACTGTGGAGCGTTTTTAAACCCTGCACATGTAAAACCATTCATGATGCACTCGTGAGCACATGCATGACCGTGCTCCGAGTGGCCTGAAGCTGGTTTGTGTTTTCACTGACACCCCCACTCCCGGACCACATGTGCTTTGGTTCCTTCATCTAGTCACTCTGTGTGCTCACATTATTTACAGCAGGACGTGGTGGGCAGTAGCTGCACTGTTTCACCGTCTTCATGCAAACGTTGACATTTCAGGTCATAAACACAATGAACAACAGAAGATTTCATTATTTAATGAGCACAAATGAAGTCCAGACTAACGCTTCTGTTAAAACTGCAGCCCGACCGACGCATCACAGATATTTTAGGCCGATAAGGCGTTTGGGGTAGACCTGTTATTTCTAACCCGGGCCCTAAGGCCGGGCCGGGCCATGATAATGTGCTAGATGGGCGGGCCGGGTCGGTGTCAGGCTTTTGGTTGCGTCAGTGAATCAGCCGTGATCCAATTATATGGTAACATGCCTTGCCATAAAATCCAATTACTGTATTTTTCGCTGTATAAGTCGTGGTTTTTTGCATAATTTGCATTTCCTGCAATTTAAAGGCTATTATTGGTTATTGTCCCTTTATGCACCGATCAGAGCTGGGCGATACGGACCAAAATTAATATCTCGATATTTTATGATAAATCACGATATACGATATATAGCTCAATTTTTTTTCTTTCCATAAAGTAACAAAAATATATTTCTGAGTCAAAGCTCTGTCCCAAATGTCACAGGCACATTTATTAACAAACAGCTGAAACTACAAAATAAATGTCTAAAAAATTAACTATTTACATATACTGGTTAATTTTTTAGACATTTACATATATTAAATAATAATCTGCTTCAGCTGGGGCGGCTGTGGCTGAGTGGTTAGAGCAGTCGTCCTCCAATGGGAGAGTTGGGGGTTCGATTCCACCAGCAGTCACATGTTGAAGTGTCCCTGAGCAAGACACTGTGATGTGTGTCCCATCGGTCCATGCATGTGATTTAAAGCTGATTATTCTTTGTGGAGCTCTAGTAGCGTGCACGAGGACACAGATTGCTGTAACCAGCTTGAAGTGTCTTGATTAGATAGAAAGGCTCTGTACAAGTACAGTCCATGCAGCTGCGCCACCTTCACGTTAGTAAGTCTGTGAACTGAAGCAAAGTGAGCCTCCACTCAGAACCGTGACGCTGCAGCTCACCGTGTTTTCAGCCTCCTTCCTTGAAACAACCCACAGCTCACAACTCGTTTAGCCGTGCTGAGCTTTATGAGGAGCAGAGGGAGGTGGCGACATTAATAAATCAGCAGCTTATCGTATCGATAAAGACTCGGTCCCAGTCTCAGCTGTGGAGCTGCTAAGGCCCGTGTCTTAGCAGCTAACAAGACGGCTAACACTTTAGC